GCAGGAGCGCCACCGCGCTCCCAAGCGGTGCACTGTAGCAGTGCGCCACTGGGCCGGCCCTAAAGTAATTCTTTTACAGCCCAAGAGGCAGGAGCGCCACCGCGCTCCCAAGCGGTGCACTGTAGCAGTGCGCCACTGGGCCGGCCCTAAAGTAATTCTTTTACAGCCCAAGAGGCAGGAGCGCCACCGTGCTCCCAAGCGGTGCACTGTAGCAGTGCGCCACCGGGCCGGCCCTAAAGTAATTCTTTTACAGCCCAAGGTTACGGGTTCAGATCCCCAAACCAGCCAGCTGACAAAAATGAATGAATGAATAAATAAATAAATAAATTCTTTTAAAATATGAGGTAAGAAAGTAAGCAGTTTAGAGGGATTTTTTGAATGTGTACTTAATAAAATACCATTTTTATGACTTTGAGTTACAATACACATGGTTCTATTTTATAATTTATAAATGCTAAGTAAATAGCGATTTTGGGAACTCAGATTTTGGCCTATGAAAAGGGCCTCGACAGTGCCTAGCACACACAGTAGACCCGTGAAAAATATTAGTTCTTTTCCTTCACTGAAACACATGCAACTTGTTGGTAAGTTTCCTATGTATTTTAAATGTATTCCTCTAGTTCTCAAGTTTATTGTTCTTGGCACCTTCCTAAGTTAAGTAGGAACAAAGGTGAAAATACGTATTTAATTTGCTAAATTGTTCTTAGGATGAATGGGGATGGCATTAAGAGTCTTGTGCAGTTCGGTCACATCTTCCGTGTCCTCCTGTAAGTGTCCTGGATCAGATATAACGCTTAGTAAGGCGCTGAGCTGAGTCTCAGCTGGCCAAGCTCATGACAAGCAGGAGACTAGTGCGTGGCATGTGCCCCCAGCCTGGAAGCAAGGGCCGCCTGGGCAGGCTCCACCTTGGACCACATGCAAACGGTAGCTCCTGCACTACAGCGTTTCTGTGGTCAGGGATGATTTTGCACAGTGTCCATATAGATGTTGTTTTACTTTACAGGAGAATTTGGGTCTGTAATGGAAGGAAATCTTAAGCAGCAAGATGGAACCTCTCAGAAAGTGGCAGTGAAGACCATGAAGTGTGAGTTACTGATGATTAAAGCCATTCTTCTGGGCATTTATTTCACTGTCAGGTGCTCCATGAGGCCAGTGATGGCATTTATAAGTCATGATCTCTTCCACTGATGGGTCAGAGGTAGTAGAGAATACTGGTCACCAAAGGGAAGTTATCATAATGAGCTCTTCATACATATTCTTTACATTCAAGGCAATAATGCTTGTTACGTTTACTATCTCTTCCTCTCTCTCTCTCTTTCTCTCTCTCTTTCTCTATCATCTAGCAGAGCTAAGAACTCCAAAGTAATTTCTAAAGCAGGGCTGATGTGGTGGCAGTGTCTGAACCCAGGGATTAGCTTGGTGGTCATCTGATCTACCTTGGTGGACCACTTTCTCATTTGAGGATGGTTGCATGGCCCTCAGGAATCTGGGGGCTGCCTGAAAAGTAAGTTTCCCAGAGAGAGGAGAAATATTCTTTGGTCAAAGGCATAGGAGGAACTGCTATCAGAAGCTACAAACTCCAAGCAAGCTGGAAAGAGGCCTGCAGTAACTAGGGAAGGGCCTTGTGAGTCGTAGCAAAGAATCTGCTTTTATCCTATAAGGCGTACAGCACTATTAAGAGTCTTAAGCAAATGAGGAACAGAGCAGGCTACGTTCTAGAAAGTTCACATTGGTGTGGCAGGTTATCAAACTGGGTTCATTGACTCCAGGTGTAATAGAAATTAACACAGGGTCGATCAGCCTGCTCAAGCAAGGCTTTATTTCATCTTGTGCCCAGGCACAAGGCAGACAGCATGGAAGAGAGGGTCCTTCAGCTGGCTCCATAAGGGGAAGTTCAGGGAGAATCTTAAAGGGGCTTAAGTGGGAAAGGGGTGATGTTTAAGCATGTAGAGGGGGGGTTTCTTGGTGCCTGTGCACTTGGAGGTCATGCTTCTTCATGCATCACATGTCTCATTAGCATGTTAAGTCTCCGCCCCTGGGTGTGATTATAAGGGAAAAATTCCGTGGAATGTCAGCACTGGGGTCCATCTCGGCACAGGCCAGTTTGGTACAGTTCCTGCAGCTGGGTCTTCTCCTTTGGATAAGCATCCTGTTCCCACATTCCTGCAAGATACTGCTTAAGAGGTACATGGTTAGCCTTCCCCTTATCTGAGTATGGGTTGCTGTATTAGTCCATTTCTGTGCTTATAACAAAATACCTGGAATGAGGTAATTTATAAGAAAACAAGCTTTATTGCTTACAGTTTCAGAAGCTGCGAAGTCCAAAGTCCATTAGTCCATTTCTGTGCTTATAACAAAATACCTGGAATGAGGTAATTTATAAGAAAACAAGATTTATTGCTTACAGTTTCAGAAGCTGCGAAGTCCAAAGTCAAGGGACACAATCTGGTGAGGTGACTCTGCAGCAATGCAGGGTGTCACATGGCGAGAATGGCAGAGCAGAGAGGGACTGTAACATGCTCTCCTTTCAGAGCCCTCAGAACCATGCCCCTGACCACCATTATTAATCCATTCACTATGGCACGGTCCTACAATCTAATCACTACTTCAGGACCCCATTTTTCAATTACCATAACAGGATTTCCCGCCCTCAACAGTTACAGTGAGAATTAAGCTTCTAATATATGAACGTTGGAGGACACAACTCCATCCACAGCAGTCGGATTCCTGCAGTTGGGAAACTATTTGTCCCAGCCCTTTGTAGTCAGGGGTGAGGTGGCCCTGAGTCCAATCACTATTCTGTCTCAGCAGTGTGGGAGAGAATGAGTTACAGTGTTGACAAAAACAGTAGCAGATGCCAGTCAGGACACTCTAGAATCTGTGGATGTCTATACTAAAACTATCTATAGTGACTTGGTGACTTGTCTGAGATTGTGCTGGACTTCTTCGTTAGCATAAAATGACCAGGTGATAATGGCAGAACAAGATGGCATTTCCACCCACGTGACCAGCTGCCAAAAAAAAGGGGGGGGTTCATGGAAAGAATCGTACTTTTAGTTTTATTTTTCTGTGAACTTTTTGAAGTACTCTCATATTTTAAGCCCATGAGACGGTGCAGACATCGTGCTCGCTGCTCTCGTATGTGATTTCCGTCTTTAGTTACACCCTGTTAAACCAAAGTCCCTAAGGCAAGCCTGGCTTTATGTTTTATTTGTTTGTTTGTTTTTAATTGTGGCAAAATACACATAACTTAAAATTGACCGTCTTAACCATTTTTAAGTGTACAGTTTAATGGCATTGAGCACATTCACATTGTTGTGGAACCATCTCCACTACCCACTCTAGAACTTTTCATCTTGCAAAATTGAAACTCTGTACTCATTTAACAGTAACTCCCTATTTCCCCCTCCCCCCAGCCCCTGCAACCACCATTCTACTTTCTGTCTCTGATATTTACTACTCTAGCTACCTCATATAAGTGGAATCATACAGTATTTATCCTTTATGACCGGCTTATTTCACTTAGCATAATATAGAATTTTAAATGTCTTTCTTACATTGGTTTAATTTCAAAAACTTGGTGGTACGCAAGGGCATCCAGCAATCACAAAGTGTGATTGAGCACCCAGACTTGCAGGGAGAATGGAAGAGGTGTGGCATTTTTTTTTTTAAAGCAAAGACAATTGCAACAGATCATTTGGAATTGATTTTAGTTTTTGTGGGGTTTTTTCTTCACTAATTGACTTTAAATTTTAGAGCAGTTTTAGGTTTACAGAAAAATTGGGCAGAAAGTCAGAAAGTGCAGAGAGTTACCTCCCCCTTACAATTTCCCCTTTTACAAACATCTTTCATTTGTGTGGTACATTTTTTACAGTTGATGAACCAGTACTGACACATTATTATTACCTGAAGTCCTTAGTTTTTTGTTTGTTTGTCCTTTTCGTGACCAGTAAGGGGATCACAACCCTTGGCTTGGTGTTGCCCACACCGCGCTCAGCCAGTGAGCGCACTGGCCATCCCTATATAGGATCCGAACCCGCGGCAGGAGCGTCACTGTGCTCCCAGTGCCGCACTCTCCCGAGTGAGCCACGGGGTCGGCCCCTGAAGTCCTTAGTTTATATTAAGGTTCCCTTCTTGGTGTTGTACAGTGTATGGGTTGTGACACATGCATAATGTCATGTATCCACCATTACAGTTTCATACAGAATAGTTTCATGGCCCTAAAAATCCACTGTGCTTTGCCTATTAGTCCCTCTCTTCTCTCCCTCCAGCCCCCACCTACCTTGACAACCACTCATCTGTTTACAGTGCCTATAGTTTTGCCTTTTCCTTACTTAGTTTTAGGTGACAACGTTGCTATTGCCCGTCCCGTCCCCTCCCCTTAACTGCATAAATTATTCATGCCTAACATTCTTCATCTTTTCCTTTAGTGGACAACTTTTCCCAGCGAGAGATCGAGGACTTTCTCAGTGAGGCAGCATGCATGAAAGACTTCAGCCACCCGAATGTCATCCGACTGCTAGGTACCTCAGAGAAAGGCGGGATTGGGTGGCCAAGGGGGCTCGCTTCATACACTCTGTGCCAAAGGAAAAAAAATCTCTGGTCCAGATAAGTTTACACTTTATAAAACCCAAAAGTCATTTATAAGACTGGGTTTTTCATCCAGAAGCCTTCTCCTTAGGATTACTTTTTCTGAGGCTGATAGTGAAAATGGGGTTGCATTTCCTGGGCACCGATGGGCTTAGGAATGGTTAATGTGTCCACAGAGTTCTAGGAGACTTTCAATTAAAATAGTCCCAGTTACTCAAAGGCAAGACACAGGAGCTGCTCATGTTAAAATTTTTATTGATTTAAGGTTTTTCATGAATCAGATACCAGTGGGGTAAAGCTATAAAAGTAGACAAATTCCATAGATCATTTCTAAGGAATAATTTATTAATCTCGAAAATCCTTATTTATTATGATTGTGATACATTGACAGTTTTACAGAATGTGATTTAACACTTCATGAAACGTGATTATATTAAATCATATTTCATGGAATATGATTTAACGTACTTTGGCTTTGCAACTCTATTAGCTAAAAAGTACAAAAAGAAAAGATCAGCTGTTGAGTAGGTGCTGTGTAAGTGACACTATTCCAAGTCAGAAGAGCAACCTGGAAAACCTGGAAATAATTGAATTTTCTGCTGACCTTTTTTTTTTTTTTCCTGCTGTCCTGGGACTTGATACATGATAAATTCTTTTGGGATCATTCAAAGTTTTATATGATTGACATTGCAGAGAGATGTGAAAGCTAATGTTTGGCTCTAATATACGTCAAAGAAATTACTGTTATTCATGTGCAGCTGTTGGCTTTAGCAGACCAGGAAGACAGTTGTACTTTGTAATTACACTACAAAGTGCAAGCACTTTGCAAGCTTTGAGTCAGGCGATGATCTCTACTTCTAGAATTCCATGATAAATGGTATTGCAGCTTCTCTTTATATAACTGTTAAAATTTGGGGATGTGAATTTTACCAATAGAACCTCAAAATTCTTTGCACAGAATTAGAATAGTTCTAAGCATTTGGTTGCAGTGGACTTCTTCCTACACTTAGGTATTTAACTATCACATAAAACTAGTTTGCCCTTGAATTCTAATGAGGTCACTACCTCTTAGACTCAGTCTAACAAAAAGCTCCTAGGTTTCTAGATGGCTAGAACACAGTGTGTGAGTTAGGAGCTTTCGTGTTATTAAACTGTTAACTTGGAAGCATATGGTTTCAATTTGGCCTCCAGTGCTTTTGTAGTCACACATAACAAAGGCTCTTTGTAACTGGTTGTGTTTTTAATTTCAGGTGTATGTATAGAAATGAGCTCTCAAGGCATCCCGAAGCCTATGGTGATTTTACCCTTCATGAAATACGGGGATCTGCATACCTACTTACTTTATTCTCGATTGGAGACAGGACCAAAGGTAACAATCTACTTGTGCTGCCTCTGAACAGTTCTCAGGGCTTACATGACAGAACCAGACAACGCCAGCATCTAACCTTGAAAATGAAGGAGAGGATATTGACCTTTGTTTAGCATTCACTGTGCACCTGAGGGTTGAAATGTAGTATCCGTCCTCACAACAGGTCTGCAGGTGGGTGTCGTTATTACTGCTTTATGTCAGGAAGAAGCTGACTGAGTACGCAGTCTCATGGCTTTGACTCTGGAGTGGGTTGGACCAGATTCACAGTCCTGCATTTCACACCCTTCATGGCCAGATACTTCTAGAGCTCACAGAGAGATGTTCACGGGCAATGGGAAGGTCATTAAAGTCAGCTCTCCTAAAAGAAACTTTACAGAGCTGCTTCTAGGTTCCATACTTGGAAGAAGTGTGCTCATTTTTTTCTGAATAAATACTTTTATCATAGTCTTAATCTGTCCAGATGAGTTACAGTCAATTATGGTGAGCCAAGAGGACTGCACAACTGATGTTCTTTAAAATGTGTGACATTTTGCTCCCTCTGTTGACTCACCAGCTGTGAGGACTGTGCAGCCCTGGTGATTTGGAACGCAGCTGTAGAGGCAGTTATGGATCCCCTAGGAAATTTAGGACCATGGAATTAGAGGCTTGCCCTCTTCAGGGTCCATTTCCAGTACTGACTTCAAAGGTTGTAGAGTTTGAGAATCATCGTCGTTAGGGATATTGTGTCCTTCATTTCCTGGGCCTCCTTCTTCTTGGAAATGAAAACCACATTGTCCTGTCGTGTTTCCTGCAGACAGACGGGTGGACTATGAACAGGAGGTGTGAGTTGTGTCCTGACTGCATGCCAGGCCAAGTTGTCCACGCGTTCTGCCCTCCACTTGCCTTCTCTGTCAGTTAGAGAAGGCGGTGATCCTGCAGGGTTCTGGTCTGGACACACATGCAGGCACAGGGAGGGGCTGGCCTCTGTCAACTGTCGTCGCGTATTAGGACAGAAGTCACTCCAGGCTAACACTGCCTAAGTCACTGCTGTAAAAAGCACAGGTCCTTGGAAGGAACTGCACCACTCTGTCTACACCTCCACAGTCTCTGACACAACCCTCCTTTGTCCCCTCGCTGCCATCAACAGCTAATTGCACTCTCTGATGAGTGCAATTAGAAACACCTGTTGCCTTACCATCCTAATTGCTGAAAAGAATTCTGCTGCTTTCACTTTATGGTCTGATAAGCCCACTGGATGAAAGTGCAGGAAAATTTCTTGGAGATCCTAAAAACCCTCTCCAACTGGCTCTGCAGACAAGCCGTAGAGGAGAAATGCCCCTGTGCATGACCAACACAGTGGAGTTCTGCACACTCCCCTGTACCCATGGACCTGGGGTGACAGTGGCCTGGGGTCAGCCTGGTCATTTCCCCAAAGTGAAGAGATGCCATGGGGCTCGCCCACAAATTCTTAAACTCAACCAGGGAAGGTTGATTAAGTTCATTAGTTCATTCAATCAAGTGCCATCTCTGAGCTGGGCACTGAGCTCTGGGGACACTGGAGGAAACATGATAAACGCAGTTGCTGCCCCATGGAACTGACACTGCTGGTAGGTGAGGGGACAACAGGACACAGACAACCGGTTCCTCATAGTAAAGGGGAAGAGGTAGGGTTGCTATGGGCACAGGAAGCAGAGGGGCCCAGTTGCCCAGCAGGCCAGTGGAGGCGCAATGGCAGGGTGGGTCGGGCTAACCAGATTGAGTGTGTTTGCGTTGGTGCACACAGCTGGAGAACCTCAGGGTGACTATGGTGGCAGCGGCTGGTAATTCCCCAATTCAGTCATCTGAGAGATGTTGGCAGTTGCGGAGTAGAGTGTAAAGTCTGAGATTAGTCGTGTTGATCGGAATGTTGATTCCCCTGATGAGCTGGAGGCCTCTAGCCTGCGGGAGCGTGCTGGAGGGGAGCATGCTGGAGGGGAACGTGCATTCCCCAACTCTGCCAGGTCATCGGGCGTCTTTGGGCTGAAGCTGGAGCAGGACAGGGCTTGTTCCATCCAAAAGGTGTGTGGGTCCTGCGTGCTTTCAGAGTAGCCTCCTCCTTTTGGAGTCCTCTCTTTTTGGCTTGTTCAATATGAAATCCCTGGATGCAGGATCCATTTCAGCTCCCAGACGGAGGCCGCATGGAGTTGTTTTTCAGGGACACTGGGGTTGGACTTACTCCTCAGACTGAGAGGGTGTGTTGGAAATTGGTGGGCCAGTATGCTTGCCCTCACCAGTGCCCGTAAGAGGGTCAGCCCCCCTGCCCTGCATCCACAGCACAGAGAAACCAGACAGAAACAGGACCGCAGACTGAAGTGCCACAACCTCTGGGTTGCGGACCATAGGGCCCAGGTGACTGGTGGAGTTACGGTGAACTGCGGCAGCAAGAACGATGACTGTGGGGCTTCATGGGGAGAAGGCAACTTTAAAAACACCAGTCCTCATCCCAAGAGACAGGTAAATCTGCAAAAACAGCCTTTATTTAATATTTTGGAAGGCAATTGAAACAAACAGGCAAAAACGTGAGAACCAGTTTAGGGACACATATCCTGGAGCCTCCTTTCCTGTGTCCTGCCGACCCCTGTATGGGAGAGTATTTTTGCTTTGCTTTTTTCTTTTTTTCTTTTACTTGTTCTGTTCTTCCCAGGGAAGGTCTAAGTGACCTGAACAGGAGAATGAGCCTCTTTCTTTTTTCTAGTTCCTCTTATGTCCCCGTGCCCAGACTTATTCCCATTCCTTTCCACATGGCTTCTCTCAAGTCTTTTACCAGCACAAGCACTAACCATAGTGATAGAAAATTGCAGCCGTATCACAAAACTATTAGAAAATCTCCAAGGCTCCTCCAAAGAGGTGAAGGGCCTAGTTCAAAGTAGGGAACATTTATGGATATGGCTGAGTTTTTTCTTTCTCTTTTTCTCCCAAAAAGAAAGGCAATAGCTTTATAAGAAGCCTGGAAAAGAAGGAAAAAGTAACCTGCAATTCCCAACACTTTAGCACAATTGTTGGCAACTTCAGACAATCCCCTCTCATCATTTATTCCACACCCACGTGTCTCAGAGGCTTGTGATTGCTACATGCACAATGCCCATAGGACACAGTGGCTGATGTTTCTCAGACAATTAGCATAGGCCAGCCTGTATTTTGCATGTATTAATGCATTAATGGCACAGCAACCCCAGGAATTAGTTACTAATAGAATCTCAGGAACAGAAGGGGCAGTGGTGGAAGCAGGACTTGCCCCCAGGCTGCAGACCCTGTGCCTTCAGCTCTGCCTTGATTGCCCCCGCCCCCACGTGCACCCCTCCCTGACAGGGCAGACCCCTGACAGTTTGCTGTGAGTG